ACCACCAATATCATTTAAACGGATGACATTTTCAACATCATCGTCAAAGCCGCCTGCAAAGGTAATTAACTTCTTTACGCTACAGCACTGAACAGTTTTCACAAAAAAAAAAAAATGTGACTGAGCTAAATTAAAAGCGGTGCAGTAGTGTAAAGAGTATTTGTGGACGAATATCAGTTAAGTGCCGATTGAAATGAGGGTAAAAGTTGGAAGAATATTTAAGAAATGTGGAAAATTAACTAAATCTAAAGAGGAATAAATTTAACTAGAGCAGATCCAGTGCTCTTCCTAACAGCAATTGGCGCTTTTTTCGGAAGACGGGACCACCATCAAGTTTGTCAACCAATGAATGATGCTGGCAAAAGTATTAAAAACTCCATTATTTCCGCATGCTTCCGTTTCCCAGCTGGCATCGTACACCAGCTGTACTTCATTGCCCGGTCCTTCATGCCATGGAAAACCCACGAAAAGCCAGCCAGGAAGAAGTCACCATAAAAAAGAAGTATGCATACTACCAAGGGAAGACAACCAAGAAAGACGTATTTTGCATTGAACGGCAGATACACAGCAGATTTGCTGACAAGCTGACTCTGTAGCACATGGACCCATAGTGTAGTGGATAACACTTGGCATCCGGATGTGAAGAGGAGTGGCTCGATTCTCTCTCGCGAGGTCCACAAACACTTTCTAAAAGGGGCTTCGTCCACAATACCTCCATTTTATCTATACAAGTGGCAATTTTTTCCCGGCTTCTTTGACTAATGCTGTATTGCTTTGCGGCTAAATATATCGGCAATTTTAAAGTCCGTTTTGTAGCATGAAAGGATTACCGAGATCACTCGGCAAGTTTTTGGCCATTTCAAGATGCCTTTAGTGTGTAATATTAAGCGCCAACCTCATTCTGAACGTTGCTGTTCCTAAACTCCGATGGGGTGCGTTATGGAGAAAAACTATGCGATTTTGATTCTGCACTGGTTTCTTGTCAAAACGGGAAATGAAATGTTTGATCAAGTCTATGAGTGGAATATAGTAAAGCCTTATAAACGGACGTGCCGTTTACTTTGCTGATAACCAATAAACGTTAAGTATATACGCATAAGGAAGGGAACGACCACGCAGGCGACCAAAAACCAGATGAAACTCGCATGTGTTTCGTATTATAAGATGGTGCGTGGAAAACCGCAAGCATGCAGCTTTGATTAAGAAAGCCTGCAAAAATGCGCCGGTATGCAAAAACACCAGAAAGGGGAACGAGTTCAAAAAACAATTT